CCTCTATCTCCCCCCTATTCCCCCGCGCTCTTCCACTCTATCGGTACCCTGCACACGTCGCAAAAGGGGGGTTTTCGGGTAGAGAAGGTCATTTTTCTCCCCTCCCCCCTCCGCCCCTTCTCGCCTACTCCTGCTTGACTCTCGTCCCCCCTTCACTTCCCTCCTTGTCAAAGGCAGAGGAGGGGTGGTCGAGCAATAGGCGCCGGTGGCGCCTTTATTCCTGTCCCCTTTATTCGCTTGAGAATCACACTTCCGGTCTGATACGGAAAGGATCGCCGAGAAGGGGCAGGAAACCCTACGGTGTTGGCGATGTCACGTGAGAAAGGCAAAAGGAGTTTTAGTGGGGATAAAGGTCGTAACGCCGCTCTTTTAGACCGTTTCTATGGAATGCAATTTGCCGCACTTCTGCTCCGACCGAGCGCATCCGTTGTCATGTACAATGATATTAACCTTTCCGCGAAATACGTCTGCTGCGAGGAAGTGAGGGGGGAAAGCGCGGCAAATGACAGCCGGAGCGGCAGCTGGTGGCGCTCCGCCCCGCCACACCCCACCCCACCTCGCGTCGCGGCGCGTGGACGAAGGCCCGCTGGACACGGTCAGCCTGGACAGCGCGACGCCACGCGCCACGCGCCGCGCTGCTGCGCCACGCCACCCCACGCCCTGTGCACCGCACGCGGCACGTGGCAGGTAGGCGGTGCGGCAAGCGGCGTTGTGGCAATACCCAGAAATTTGGCGCGCCAAACATGCGCGGCCTAGAGAGGCAGAATCTTCTACAAGCCTCTCCATGGTTATTGCGGCTCACGCAGCCGTATTCCTCACCGTTTTGTTTAATTTTTGGTGCATTTCTGCGCGCAGACCGTGGAAACGTCACTATGAGTTCATAACTGTGCGATGGGAACATCTTGGTCTGTCGCTTGCCCTCCCTTGCGATGCTCGCTGCCAAGCCCCAGCCCCGCGCGGGACCGCGCTGGACCCGAAGTGTTCGTGTGCATTCCAGCAGCAGCCCGCCCCTTCATATTCCACATGCCTCGACCTCATCACCTGTTGCGTAAAACTCACCGTTCCTCTCTCTCTCCCTCCCACCGTCTCTCTCTCTCACATATACTGTACTCGCTCATGGGTGTGAAGCCCCTCAAGTTGTACACGACGGACCTACTCTACCGTGTCCCTTCGCGCCTCTCTAATGCAGTGGTCGTATTACGGGTCGTTTGAGCCAGTTTGAGTACACCTCTGCGGAATCGGAAG